TCCTCTCATCCTGTCTATTGTTACCTGAGAGAAGAGGCTGACCCCTACTTGGCTGCAACCTCTTTTCACATAGTTGTAGAGAGTGATAAGGTCTCCCCTGAGCCTCCTTTTCTCTAGACTGTACTCCCAGCTCCCTCAGCTGCTCCTTACAGGACTTGTGCTCCAGACTCTTTGCCAGGTCTGCTGCCCTTTCCTCAGCATGTTCCAGCCCCTCAGTGTCCTTCCTGTAGTGACAGGCCCAGAACAGCACTCAAGGTGTGGCCTCACCAGTGCCAAGTTCAGGGACACAATCCCTGCCCTGCTCCTGCTGGCCACACTATTGCTGATCCAGGCCAGGATGCCATTGGCCTTCTTGGCCACCTGGGCACAGCTGGCTCATGTTCAGCTGCTGTTGACCAGCACCCCCAGGTCCTTTTCTGCCAGGCCACTTCCCAGCTGCTCTTCCCCAAGCCTGAAGCACTGCCTGGGGTTGTTGCAACCCAAGGGCAGGACCCGGCACTTGGCCTTATTGAACCCCAATCCACTGGCCTTGGCCCATTGATCCAGCCGGTCCGGATCCCTCTGCAGAGCCCTCCTGCTCTCCAGCAGATCAACACTCTCACCTACCTTGGTGTCAACCTGCAGAACTGATTGAAAGTGCCCTGAATCCCCTTGTCCAGACCATTGATAAAGTTGTTAAACAGCACTGGCCCCAGTACTCAGCCTAGAGGAGCACCACTAATGAAGGCCACCAGCTGGATGCAGCACCATTCACCACCTCTCTCTGAGCCCTGCCACCCAGCCAGCTTTTTACCCAGTGAACAGTGTACCAGACCAAGGCATTCTCCAGGAGAATGCTGTAGGAAATGATGTCTAAGGATTTACTGAAGTCCAGGTAGACTACATTCATAGCTTTCCCCTCACCCACTAAGTGGGGTCACCTTATTGTAAACTTAAATCAAGTTTGTCAAGCAGGACCCACCTTTCATAAACCCAATTTGGCTGGGCCTGGTTTCCCAGTTGTCCTGTATGTACCCTGTGATGGCACTCATGATGATCTACTCTATAACCTTCTCTAGGACCAAGGTCAGACTTACAGGCCTGTAGTTCCCTGGATCCTCCTTCCTTCCATTCTTGTGGATGGGTTTCATTCAAATTTGGTAACTGAGACCTCCTCAGTTAGCCAGGACTGCTGGTGAATGATGGAAAGGGGATTGGTGAGCACTTCTCCCAGCTGCCTCAGTACCCTTGGGTCGATCCCATCCACCCCTATAAACTTGTGTGTATCTAAATTGTGTTGCAGGTCACTGACCAATTCTCCTTGGATCATGAGGTCTTTGTTCTGTTCCCCATCCCTGTCTTCCAGCCCAGGGCACTGGGTACCCCAACAACCACTGGTTGTATTAAAGACTAAGGCAAAGAAGGCATTAAGTACCTCAGTCTTCTCCTCATTCTTTGTAAACTTCCCCCCACATCCAATAAAGGATGGAGATTCTCCTTAGCCCTCCTGTTGTTGATGATGTATTTACAGAAACATTTTTTATTGTCTCTTACTGCAGTAGCCAGATTCAGTTCTAGCTTGCCTTCTAGTTTTCTCCCTGTATAACCTCACAACATCTTTGCAAACCTCCTGAGTTGCCTGCCTCTTCTTCCAAAGGTCATAAATGCTCTTTTCATCCCCAAATTCCAGCCAAGCTGGTGGTCTTCCCCACTGGCTCATCTTTCAGCTTGTTGGGACAGCCTATGCCCTTACCTTCAGGATTTCCTTCTTAATGAATGTCCAGCCTTCCTGGACCCCCTTGCCCTTCAGGACTGACTACCATAGGACTCGGTCTCTTACACAGGTGAAAGTCTGCCTTTCAAAAACCCAGTGCCTTTTTTGCCTTTACACAGATTCTTATCTATAAACACTCAACCTTACTGTCACCATCAGTAAGCTTCAGAAAATCAAAACACTCCCTAACATACAGGGGTGTCCCATTGTCTCTTCTTCCTTGCCTATTCCTTCTGACCTGTGTCAGAATCCTGTTTGAGAATCCAGTTTGCTCCCAAGCCTGAGAAGAGGGTATAGGGTGCTGGTGGCCCCTTCTGCAAGACCACTTTTTTTTAATAGTTTTGTTTCTTCATTATACCTTTGTGTTTTTCTCCTCTTTCACTTGCTGCATTTAAGTCACAGCTTGCTGGGAAGGCTTCAGTTTCTCACGAAGTAGACTGTTCAGTCAAATCCCCACTTTAAAAATACATTTTCTAAATATGCACTATTCACTGTTGTCCTCAGTGATTTGATTGGCAGAAATAAGAACTGCAAAAGAGGATCTTGTCAGTCATTCTCAGGCATTCCTTAATATGGAAACAATCACCTGCCATTTCAACCATTTTTTGCAAGGGACACAGTGGGCTTAATAAAATGCACACACCTGCAGTCTAAACTTCTGTTCTCTGGTAAAAACTTTTTTGTGGGGATTGCAGATGTGCATGTGCAAGATAAGAGACCATTCCCTGTGACACCTGAAAACCCATCCTGGCCTATATTCTGTAATTTTCTGGAAACGCTCTGCACACTGGTCCAGTTCTGAGTGTCTGTCTCATGCGATCCAAAGGACAAGGGTGACAAAACCCCAATGTTGTGCAACACCTGCTCATTTCAGACTCATCTTTCAGAAGTGGTGAACATCTGTGGCACTGTCTGTATTCTGAGACATGGAGACATTCAGCAACTTAAAAAGAAGAAAAAGGAGGCCTGATACTGAGGCCCTGAATTATGTTTAGAGAATGCTTCCAGAACAATCAAAACTTTTTTTTGTCTTTTTTTTTTTTTTTCATTAAAAGATCTCCTAAGGAAGAATTAAACTGGTAGTATGCTATGGTAAATTTAGCTACAGTGTTTCTGGGACAAGATGTCCACGGAACAAGCATCCCTCATTTATCACCAGAACATCTCAATTCTGACCTGAAACACAAATTTGGTGCCACGTGTAGCAATGTGTTTGTGGTCTGTTGCAAATGCCAGCCAGTGAGGGAATGTGTTGGTTTAAGGCACACAAGTAAAAAGCACAGCTTTTAAAAGTTCAGCTTCATTTTCCTTTGCTGGGAAAGGAAATAATTATTCTATTTATTTTGCTTCCAAGATGGGAATAGTAAATGTATTTCTCACCTCACTGAGAGGAAAAAACATCACACACAATATGGTTAAGGTGCACCCCCTTTAACAGAGCGATGTGACAACCTTGCAACTTGAACACAATTTTTTTCTTTAGCTGCTGCCTTCTGGATTTTTTTTCTTTAATGTAGTTTATTCTTGAGATGCCTCATGCATAAGCATCTTGGATCGTTTCCTACAAAACAGCGGAGCTCCTAAATTAAAGGAGTGGGTAGGGCAGAAGTGAAGCCTATTTCAAACATGGCTTTAGTGGAGCCGATTTTGCTGCCATGTGGAGGCAAATATTTGGCCATGGAGGAAGAACATCTTAAAATGAGCTATGCTCCAGGAGTGAGCAGATCAATCCTTCCTAGGAGCCTGTGGTAATTCATTTTTTGGATGATGTGAGCTGTGATTCCGCTGAGGGTGCTGCTTTTGTTTGTTTTCTTTTGCAGTGAGCATGCGGCAGTTGAGATCACCTTTTCCAAAGCTCAGATGCTCCTTCCAGAAAGCCAGGGCCCAGATGAGCATTTTGATATTTGTGTCCCACGATCAAGGGCAGGGCTTTGGGAGAAAAACTGGAGCACAGCAAATGTTCAGACCAGGACTGCACACAGCACTGCTCCTTTTTGACCCACTGTATGACCCTTTTAGGGACGCTCCTTTGTTTTTCAGCTACTGGATGCTATGACACAAATTTCTGTATGTGTAGTGTCGCTTCCCATGACCAAAAGCCCTGTGAAAGGGAACAAGTTCCACCCCCTCCTCAGCTCCAGTGACAGCAACCTGTGTCCTCACACTACTTCTTGGCTCCCTCACAGTAAGGTGATCCACAAAGGGAACATTAGAAGGCATTTTCTGAGCCAAGGGTTTTCCCCTGGCAGGTTGCAGAAAGGCCCATCTGCTTCTCTCGGGGCTGGTGTCGCCTCCATCCAGCCTCCACAGCTGCGTGCAGCTTTTGCTCTGAGCGCAGTGATGCTGGTGACAGGGGAGGAAACCTGGCTCCAGGTAGAGATGAGCCAGAAAAAAGTTGTGTTACAGGTAGGTCCTAAAACTTGTTGGACTGGACAAGGACTCCAAGGCACAAAAAGGGGCTGCTGCTCCCGGGGGCGGTGGGACCTCAGTCGAGGTGCAGCCTGCTTCCTCCCTGGAACAGCGAGGGGAGCATGGCTCAGCTGGAGGCAGTGGGGCCAACACCGAGTGGCCACACCGGGCACGCAGTGGGTGAGTTAAGGACATACTTTCAGCCTTAATTCTGAGTTTCCTAGGTTTTGTCAGTTTAAGCCAGATTCCTAATGTTATTTTAATGCAGTTGTTTTGTGTGTGAATAATATGCTTTCTATGCCAAACCACAAGCCCTGGAACTAATATCTCATAAAAATGCCTGGAGTCCAAAGCTAATAGCTGTAATTCAGCTGATCGAGTGATGCCTAAAAAGTTACGGATTAACGCTATTCCTCAAAGGGAAGTAAAATTAAACTCGACTTCTGAGGGGCTGGGTGCTATTTTGCACAGCCTGGGCTGAGGGATGCAGCTCGCTGCAGACCCTGGGCACCCCATGGCAGGGCTCAATGCCCTTTGGGCAGAGGTTGGGGCTGGCGAGGTGAGGGATTTTCCGCATTTTTTCCCTTAAAAAGCTCCCACCCTTCCAGCAACACCCCACCCACTGCTGGGTCACCACAGCTCATCCTCGAACAGCCCTGATGCTGTGGGCAGTGAGTCAGACAACACTGAAATGGGGTGGGGGCCGGTCCCCCTCTCAGGCTGGGTGAGTGGCAGCTGAGGCGACATCACGAGCTGTGCCTGGACCCAGCAAGGGGGCAAGTGCCCCTTCCCCCCCAAAGGGTTTGGATGAGGCAACAGTGACTTGCAGTGAGCAAAGAGGGGACATGGGAGGGGGGGCAGAGCTGTCCCTTCACGCTCTTTCCAGGCCCCCGCCTGGAAAGTCGTGCCACAGGATGTCAGTGCAGCCTGTGGGAAGGCCCTGCCTCCCGAAAGAAACCAATCTCTCCTCTCAAGAGCACACAGGAAGATCTCTTTCCCAGAATATCTTATTTAGGAAACTTGCATCACAGCAAGCAGCAAAGCAGAATGCTTATTTGGGAAAAAGAAAATGAGATGTGGCCCCAAGTCAGCGCTTGCCTGTAGGCTCTGTGGCAGAAAGTTTGAGGAGGCAGCAGAGGCAGCTGCTGGCTCACAGGACCAAAGGCAGAGCTGGGTGGGCTGGAGACCCAGCTGGTGTTTGCTGCCTGTGCCATATCCTCCAGTACTGGCTGAGGAGCTCTAAGGTATCAGGGATTTTCCTGTTACAACACAAAGGGATCAGCTAGATTAGCTTCTGCAGAGGTGAGAAGGAAATGTGTCATGTTGACTGTTTATTTTGCGTTAATTGGATTCAGACCCTCTTTTTGAATAAATCTCGGTTTACTCCAGCTCCTGTGGTTTTTCATGGCTGTGAATGCAGAGGAGCTGTTCCAGGGATAGGCAAGTGATTCTCGGCTTCAGTGGGGAAAGCAAAGGGATCACACTGCGGTCACTAGAAGCAGGCAGCTTGCAATCAGCACGGCTGTTTGAAGAAGGTCTCATGGTCACATCCCAGATGAGGCTCTGTAGTCACGGACAGCTTCTGGCAGTACGAGGTAAAAGCTGCTCCTTGAGCAGGGAATTTTAAGCTTTTCACTCCTTCAGACATGACATCTACAGCTGCTGTGGGTAAGCTGCAGCAGCACAACACTGTGACCTGGGGGCAGGGAAATCCTGCCTGTATGAAAGCAGCATATGTTGGTCCACTTGAACAGGGAGAGCTGCGCTGTCAGCGAATCTTCTGCACTTCATCATCCTTCTCTAGCTGGTGTGGAACACTGTAGGAAAATTATCTTGGTCTGCTGTTTTTCTTGGCCTGCTCTCTCAGAAACATGGAAAGTACCTGCAGCAGGAGCGGCTTCTCAAATTTGTCCCTTAAATCTCTGGAAACAAAATGAACTCAGATGAAAAAGAAAGGAGAAAAAGTGTAGTTTAAGAATCCTAGGTCTCAGTGGCTGCAAGCTGCTAATCGACCTCTCTGGCTTAATTCCTCCAAACCAGCAAATACTTTTCACTTCTGTGTCCCTTGCACTGTGGAAACTTTTTGACATCTCTGTACTGGCCAATGTGGTTTGAATCCCTGCCTCTGAGTCACATGGGTATCAAAATCCTCAGGCCAGCTGGACTAAATAATGCTCTCTTGATGAGCACAGCAGAAACTAGACATAAAATAAATCATTAAGTCAGTGACATTTTTTGGGGATCTAAATTGTGCTTGCATATGCGTTACAGAGTCAAGTCTTGATTTTGAAATTCTTCCACTTATTTCTTGTTCTTACAGGTGCAAATGAATGCTACATCAGGAAGACACATTTCTCTGGAGAGCATCTGCTTCTGCAGTTTCCAAAGACATCCTTTATTTGTGAATGTATCTTCTTGTACATGAACCTGTGACTTGTCTGAGTCTCGTCTTATTGGAATTGCACATCAGAATTATCTTTTATTGTTCTTTCGGTCACGTTTCTCTCTGTGACAGATTATTGTATTTTCTGTTGGCTTTGATATTTTTTAATTGATCGCTGAAGGACCAAATCCAGATGCTGGGTACATTCTTGATGAGGTGGGTATTGAAGTACTTTGGTATATAGATTGTCATTGTTTTCAACCTTTTGCCTTGATCATTTGCTCTTGCAGAACTCATTTCTTTCAGTACTTTTAGAGCCCATGGGAGGTGCTAAATAAACACTTCAAACTATAATAAAAGTCACTGGCCAACTGTGAGGTGCTAAAATTAAGTAAAATGCCCAGCATCGCATAGGTAAGCAGAACAACTGTTTTTCTCTTCCTTTGTTGTCCTGATTAATTTACAGCACATCAGATCAGGCTTTTACATTTTGCCTACCTGCAGAGCTTCCTACTGGAGCAGTATCCATCCAAATTGAACAAAAAAAAAGAAGAAAAATGCCCAAGATAAAACCAGTATGATCAGCTAATATGAAGGAACTTTTTTTTTTTTTTTTTTTTTTTTTTAATATGGACAATAGAGTCAGTTTTTGCTTATCTTTGGTTTTGGAGTGCCTGAGCCATCTTAGAAAATTTAGCCTGAATCAGACATGTAGAATTTCCTAGTGAGGAACATGCCAATCTACAAAATGAAAATTAGGTTAAAGGAAAATAGCTGAAAACAGAGACTGCTACCAGAAAATATGATACAACATGGACATTGGGAGACACTGTAATACAGGAATCCCTGCATTTACTGAAGTTTGCCACCTCTACAACAAAGTTGTTTTGCTTCCACAAAGGAGTGCTATAGAGGTTTTTAGGGAAGGAAGCAAAACAGAGCATTATTTCTAAGGGAAATCACAGGTGCAATAGGAGAGCTGTCGGTAAAGGCATCCCTTTCCCAAGGCAGTATGCAGAGAGCACAGTGGGAATGGCTCGATAGCAGAAGCAAGAACAGGATGGGCTTTAAGTGTCACCAAGTGAAAAAACTGGTAGGGGCACCAACAGGCTGCCAGTCCCTCTCTTGCTGTCCTGCCAGGAAGAAGCATTAGTGAGAACAGGCTACTCCTCTGCAGACTGAAAATAAAGATAAATTAATTACTCAATCCAGAACTTTAAAAAAACAGCAATATGACTTTTGGAAATGCAGAAAGACCCATCCATCTGTTGCCTTCTTAGCAATATGAAAATTGAAGGACACTGTGTAAGCCAAGGGAAAACCCCAACACTCTGCAGCACAAAATTCAGTTAAATCTCTGCCCTCAGCAGGTTCCAAATCACATAAACATCAGGAATATTGGAGGGCTGGGGCACACGGCCTTAAGAGGCCAGGTCAGAAAACACTGTTGTTTCCTTGCATGAGAAGATATAAATAGTATTTAGCATCTTCAAGCAGGCAAGTTCATAAGTGAGCCTGCCTGACTGTGAACTGGCTTCTTTGACAACTTAGTATTCAGGAGAGGGAAGAATTGCCATAGCAACATTCCCATCTTCTGACATGTATCATGCAGATCATGTAGTCAAGGCAGCGCAGCACCCTCTCACACATGTGCTCTGTGAACTTTTGCGTTCCTGACAATATTAAAGAGAGAACTGTGTCTCATGATTGACACACTTGCCTGTGTGTCTTTATGATTCCTTAAAAAAATATATGGAAATGCTTCCCTTCCCCCATCCCTCCTCCTTTGAACTGTTTTCTTTTTTCCATCCCACTGAAATGATGAGAACAGTTCCTGCCCCAGATCTGTAGATATATGTTCCTGACAGTAGTCCTACGCTATGCAAATGTGTAAACTGCAAAATGTAGAGGGCTTTAAAAAATTAAGTATATCCAGCAGAGTCTAAATTCTGAGTGCTGAAAGGAACTAAAAATCTTTCAGTAGCTGCATAATTAATGCTCTATTAAGCAAAGCCTTACATCGCTTTTCTTTTGGGTTTTTTATTTATTTATTTTTTTGCTTTGAGTTAGCCTGAAATCTCCAGACACACACATCAACCATTCCTATGGCACATGCCAGTATATATGCCACCCTGTGTGGGAGCTGAGTGCACAAGCAGAGCAGAATACTTGTTTGCAGGCGGGATCTGGCTAACCCCTGGGATGGCTTTGGCTATGTGGACTTCCCACTGTAGGAAAAGCATTACACATCACACAGGGCTATGCTGTGGGCCACTACAAATGGGATGCTGCAACACTGTGCAGTGACACCCTTGTCTGTAACCCTGACAGCTGTGACAGCCAGGTGCTTGACTTTACAAGTGCTCTTGCTTTAATTGTATGATAGGTCTGCCCAGTGGACGTCTTCCTAAGCTTACTGCCTAGTCAGTATTTTGGCTCCTTTCAAAAACTCTGTAATGCTATAAAGAGTTGGAATATAATTACCCCACTGTATTTATGTGTGTCTCTAACTACAGCCACCCCACCAGTGGTTCTGACATTAAAAGTACCACAATATACTGTCACATGCCTACATATTTTCTCCTCAGACCTGGGATTTCATATGCTGTGCCGTCCTTGGCAGGATGCCTATTGCACCATCTCTGCATACAGGTTGGCCTCAGTAACCCCCTTCTCCAAGGAACAGGCTTAAAATCCTGCATAACTCTAAGGCCTTGGCAGAAAGAGAACAAAACCCACTCAGACTGAGTGCTCTCTCTGGACTGTATGCACCTAGCTGTGGGCTACACCTGAGTGAGGTAATTTTTCTAACCATGCTGTTTTATCCTCTCTTGGCTGCCTTCTCACACAACTCCCCAGAGCTGCCTAATAAGCATTCACTGCAAAACATTCCCATTGGATGGCAAAAGCTCTCATTGTTTGTGCCGTGGGGGCTCCTTTGTACAACTATCTGCTGGAGGCAGGTAACCTTTGCATTGGAATAGCTTCTTCTATCTTTCCCCCACCCATATTCCTGTTCTCTCCACTACTTTTCTCCAATGTTTAGGATTACTGTACAAAACTTTGGTACTTTATGTGGTACCAAAGGAACCAGGACCTCACCACGCTCCAGGAAAGGTGAATGTAATTATGTTGTGGTCAGTATCACTTGGTTGTTCAGCTAGGATTATATCTCCAATGAGCCATCTCCTGAGCTTCACTCATGTCTGAAAGCCCTGCCTGCTTTGGTGTACTCCACACCTGCCCATTCCAAGAAATGAAGATTCAAGAAGTCCCCTCTTCATAACTTGTTCCATTCTTGGCCAGAGTACACACAGGTAGCTGAGGTCCTCCATTATGGTAATTTTTGCTGCCTCACTAAGTATTGTGTGACTAATTGCCTCTTCCTACTCAATGACTAATAGCACTCCTGTTAAGCCACCTCTAGAGAGAATGGTTTTGCAGCTTAATACCAGTTACAGAAGAGTGACCACCTCCCTCTTTTATCCCATTACATATGTCAGATGTGAACTTCAGAGGCAAACTGAGAACCATTATTATATAAAAACAACTTATTTTATTTTACATAGTAAATAAGCTAAGACAATTATATGTAGACAGATAGCCAGGCACTGTTCTGCCTGCAGAAATGCAGGAACTGCAGAGTCCTGCAGCCACAGACTGTCCCTGTTGCTACAGGCAGCATGGCCAGCAGCAGACCAGCCTTATTCCCGGGAGAAAAGTAGGACAAGGGGCTGTCAGTTTGGAGTTATGGTGGCATTACTGTCCCTGTCAAGAATGATGCCTTCCACAGTGCCTGATTTCTTTCCATGCTAAGTAAGTAACTGCCATTTAACATCTGACTGTCATCATTTGTTTCTGCAGAAGATCCTGTGTGTATATATGTGCATATATATGTGCCCATGTGTGTGGTTAACTTCCATCTACACAACACACATACAGAGGGGACTATGCATAATAGAAAGCAAAGGTATATTTTGTCCTAGAACTGACTGCACCATAGCAATTTCTACATTTAGAATGCACACTGCAGAGATGCTTCTCCAGCCTAAAGGTATATGTTTATATTTTAGTACACAAGCTACATATAAAATGCTGAACTTGAACACCATGGCTAGTTACAACATTAATAACATGAAAAAGATGCTATTTAGTTTCTGTCTCATTTTACACAACTCTAAAGAACAGCAGATACCTTCTCCAGTGGGCCACAAAGTCTGTGGCCTACCTTTCAAATTTCTGTACTGGCATTTATTGTGATGAGGTTTATATCCCTTTACAGCTGTGGTCTGAACAACAAAGGGGCACTTAAGGGAATAAGAATACAACTTGCTCTTCTGGGTTACATTAAAACCCATTGATTTCCATCTGTTACTTGAACAAAACAGAGTGCATTTTTGATAAAAATAAAATTGCTCATTTTGGAGAATATATGCTAAATATATTTCATGTTTGTGGTCTGCAAATTGGGCAGTTCTGTTCTTCCTAGTTACTTAAATGATACAAGCAAGAGGAAGTAGCTATGCACAAAATGTATATTTTCACCCTAAGCCCAAATCCCTGTCATTACATCATTAGAAGCACTACACAAAATGCTCCACCTGCCAGCCCTCTTGGCCCCTTACTCAGCAAAGCTCCTGCAATTAAAAGCACCTGTGTGTGTGCTGTGAGCTCAGGATGCGCTCAAGAACTCTTCTAAACAGATCTCAACAGCTACATCCTTTTACTTTTCATTTAGTTTCATTCTCCCTTTGTTCTTGCCTTAAAGAGGAGAGAGAGATCATTGCCACTGTAGAGAGCTGACCAGCCAAACCCCCAGTTGTTCTTCTCTTCCCTGGGACTTTGGCAGTAGTCAAGCTCCCAGGTTTCTGTCCTTCCCAGCAACACCTGTGACCCCAGTTTAACCAGCTGGCCACAGCAGCAGGTGAAGCTATGAACCACAGGAGCAGAGCAGCTGGGATACTCTGGTGGAGATGACCTCCTCTCCAGGCTTTGATCAGGAGCATTCTTATGCTGCTGCAGAAAGAAGACACCTGTCACCAGTGTTTGACCCCACTCATGTGACAACAGAGAGAATTAAGAGATAGGATTAGTGGCACTTTTCCAAGTCTGCATTTGGAGGTGACCTCACCTGCACCTCTCCTATTGCTTACTTCTTTACTCCCAGGCCAGAACACCAAACCTGCCTTGGTGATGCTAGCCTCAGGTTGATGGTCTCTTCAGGACTATACATCAGCTCACATTTTATATGATGAATCTTTTGAGTGTTAAGCCTAATGGTATCTGAGTCTTCAAAGGCTACTGAAGTGTGAATCAGAGCAGAATGACCAATCCTTATAGAAAATAAAAGGCAAAGAATAAATTATTGTTAGGATTTGAAGCAGTCTTTGAAAAGCAAATTCAATAGGAAAAATGAACTGAGAAGTACCTACTTTATACAGTGCCACTACAAACTGCCCCCTGGAGCCTGCAGAATGGTGAGCCATTTGTCAGTCTACTCAGTGTTCAAGTGGCTTTGAC